ATATCTTTCTGGCCATGGCATAGGCATACCACGGTCATCATGGTTACGCTGGGACCAAGTCAAATTTCCTGGAGGCGGCATATTTGCCAAGGGAGGACCAGAGGGGTGAAAACCTTGAGTACCATAAGCAGGAAAACTTAAAGGAAGTTTGTCCTTGCGAGGATTTTGATGCAACAAAGTTGCCACTTCATACAGAGCTTTCTTTGCCACTGCAGGTTTACCTGATATCTGCAGAAACCTATCATGTCAGAAACCCTTTCTACTTAAAAGGATCCCACAGGCACTCAAATACATTCAAAAAGGTGAAAAGACATTTTTAAGCTTAAATTATTGATCAAAATGGTAGCATCTGATCTGTTTTCACAAACCACGATGTGCTTGTACATAAAAATAAAAGCACATCAAATTCTTCTCAACAGAAAAGAATTATAACATAACAAACAAACTTGAATTGTAAAGTAGTTCATCAAGACAGAAAGCCCAAACACATGTCAGCGCCTCAACTGTAATGCTGAAAGACCCAGTTTCGAAGCTTCACAGGCATTTGTCTGGAGGTTAATAAAAACCCTCTGCTCCTGCCCCAAAAAGGGGGATGTAACAAGATAATATGAGTACTACAATAAGTACAGATCAAAGTTACAGAAGGCCTTACCATCCAGCCACCTATTTATGTTTTAATGAAATGAGCGTAAAAACACCATATACTAGAGTCAGACTGAAGAAAGTGCTTAATAACCACTGCCCTGCCACCACCAGAAAAAAGCGATGCAACAAGATAATGATGAGCACTACAATAAGTATACATCAATAGTTACAGAGGAAACACCATGCAACCCTCTTCTGAAGTTTGTTACTAAATAAATGAGAGAACACTATATACTACTACTGAACTGAAGAAAGGAAAGGTGTGAAGCTAAATATGTCGAGAGGGATACAACAATCTTCAAACCCATACCAGTCTAAGAAGCCTAAAGAAAATGCAAATCTAGGACATTGACAAATTTCTAACTATGGCAGAAGAACCCAATACCCTTCTATCTCAGATAAAGTGAGAAACTTAAAGTCGAAGACCACAGTAAGCTCCAAGCTTGAAGACTCGATATCACCAGCCATTACCATTTACAATAGGTCCCCCATAACAAGTTGTAAGTTTCAACCAGGGACATCTCTCTGTAACACACGAAGCTCACCCTTTCTTGAACATGTTTTGACCAACATCCCTCACTCCCTCTCGCTTGTCAATAGAAGTAAAAGCTGATTGGGTTTGATCAAGCTGTAGTTGGATTGATCTGGAATTTCTTTGTCATTTTTACGTTGGTTGTCAAGCCAAAAGAGATTTTAAGTAGGAAAGTAATACGATGGCCATCTGGTAATGATCATGAACCGAGACATTTACAGCACATACACGCAGAGATGCATCAACAAGACATGGCAACAACAGCCAAAGATAAATTTCTGACTAAGCCAGTCACACATATGATATATGAACTTCACATAAAGAAAAAGCTCATATTCACGCAAATTTGGTGAATAACAAAATTGTAAGCAAGAAATTACAAGTAAACCAATGAGAGGGAATCCTCCCAAACAAAGCTGACTTACCTGCACCAATTCATCCGTATTCATGGCGCAGGAAGGAAGATGGTCTGCTGGAAGCACACGTATGCTGGCACCAGTCTCACCACGCAATCTCTGTATGACATCCCCTTTTTTACCTAAAAGGCATCCAACCACATTATTTGGAACAAGAAGCCGTGCAGTGACCACGATTTCATTTTTGTCATCATTATCTGCCCCGCCAAGGTCTTCCTCGACGATTCTGTCATGAACTTTCAAGAGAGCAGCTTGGGCTGCACAATGCGGCTCCATCAGATGCTCTTTTGAATCAGTATCCTGATCATCACCATCCTTGTCAGCATTCTGTCTTCTTGCTAGTTTTGCGGAAGGACTGACAATAAGTATGACTCTTTCATCTGATCCAGGAACAGCGTCAGCAACTGTGATCTTCGCTTGGGTCTCCTCTCTCAGGGCTTTGATAATACCACCACCTTTTCCAATAACACTACCTATCTTCCTAGACTGACAAAGTATCCGGTAAACAGTGTCCGAAGAAAGTGAATCTTCAGAGGACTCTTCATGGCCAGAATTATGCCATTTTCCTTTTTTAGGACCTGCTTTTTTCTTGAAGTGTGCGCTCGGCCGTTGCTTCAAAAAATTGTTCCTGTTTCCATCCATGATTCAACTAATATACAACTGCTACAGCAAAAGTTACTTATTTTTCTTCTGGGGTATGAGTTTACAGCAAAACTTATTCGAGTGGCACAACCTGTTAATAAAGAAGCCATCGACATCAGCAAGAAGAGGATAAAATTAGCTCTTCGCATAGATTAATACCAAAAAAAAAAAAAAGAAGCTAATGATCAGCATCAGGCGCCCATATCACGAAATCATCCAGCTGTAAACTGACCATACTTTCATAGCTTATCAGTCGATTTAGAGTAATAGAAGCTCGATTTCTTAACAGAATCAAAGCTGCACTCGCGTCTATAAGTCTAACCGATTAAGTGACAAAAACCGAAAACCGAAATGTATACCGTCAAATAGACATTTCAAACCTCCAGGGCTTCTCGCACACCGTTGCGAAAGAATTTATGGACAGCAAACATAAACGAATTCCAAGTAATATTAATTTGCCGATAGCCTCGCCCTATGATCCCAAAAAGGGCGGAATTTTAGATTCCAACGGCTGTGAAGTCAATTAAATACCAGAGTTATTATATTTTCAATTTTTTTCATGCAAAAAGCTCGAATTAAAATGAACACGAGCAGATAAATACAAATAGTCTGTTCAAATTGCAAAACGGGAAGAATACCAATGCTCGATTGAGCTGAGCTTTTAGATAATTACCCAATTTCTAAGCTAACAACGAAAAGAAGGGGGAAAAAAATCCATAAACCAGCATCGAACAACTCATTTGCGAGGAGCTAGGTTTAATTTTCTTAACCGGTGAAAATTATTTAAAACAAAAAGAAGAATAAATAAAATAACAATAAAAACACCAACTAGGATACGTACCCAGGAGTCGACGAAGGAGTCGGACTAAATTTCCTACTCTAAAATGCGGTGTTTTTTGAGTGAGGGTTTTGAGGTGTATTTTTGGTGGTAAAGGCGAGGGGATTGGTGCTTGCTGAGCTCCTGCTCCATGGGGTTTGGTTTTGGAAAGGAGAACCAGAAGAAACCACTGAGGTGCTGAGTAGTCTGAAAACGGGGAAAAAGGCCGGACAGGGAGAAAGGGAAAGAGACAGTAGGGCTTTGGTTGGCCTGCAATTTGCTCTACTTAGGGATATGCGCAGTGGGCGTGGGTCCAGTAACTTGCTAGTAATGGGCCAATAGAGATGGAAATTGGTATTAATGGCAAATGGATCTTTGGGGTTCCCGGAAAATCGGGTAAACGATAGTCCGGATCCGGATGAGTATATATATATATGGCAGGCCAGGCTACTTAGGCAAACATATATGAGGATGCTATTTAGAAAAATAAAAATAAAAATTACAGCAGGGAAAGGCTGGGATTTAAAACACGGCAAGAAACTAGGAGGATTTGGACATCGAGATTTCAATCCTAATCACTAAATTATACATGAATGTTATATCTGAAGTAAAATGGCATAATTTACCCCATAATGTCCCCAACTAAGAACAATTCAAATTGAGAGATAAAAACAGTTTCCAAAAAATTGAAATACTACGACATATAAATAAATGGTTTAAGCGGGGCCAAACTAAATTAATCAGTCACTTTAAACCATTCTTATATCGGATTGAAAGAGTAACAATAATTGATGTCTCGTGTGGGGTTGGGAGAGTGATGCATATGAAGAAGCAGGGCTGCTTGCTTTTAAGAAGAAACTTACACCTATTTACCCCTTGCACTGTCAGGGGAAACTTCTACTTAAAAGATTTTTTTTTTTTTTTTTTTTTTGTCCATGGATGAGAAATCGACATAATTTTCGCTCGATGAAAATAGTCATATATATATATATATATATATATATATATATATATTAAAAAAAAAAGGTAAAATGTTTGGCATTTCTCATTTTTCACAGGAAAGTTCTGACACCTAATGAAGAGTTCTTTCTGCACTAGATTTATGATCCGTACCTTCTGTTTTTGGTTCAGTGACTTGTCCAATTTTTTTTTTGTCAATCATCAATCCTACTTCTATTCCTACTCTATCTAGGAAAGATCCAATCGGACCTACGGGACCGATGGAGACAGAATCACTATCGGACCAGACGGGTATATCACGCACCCATCTGGATATTTTGAAGAACCACAATTGGTGGGAAGCAAGGTTCGAACCATTGCCTCCCAAAGTCTTGGTGATGACCATCAGTCTTAGCCAATTGATTGTACACTTAGTTGATTTGCTTGTACACGTGGACTTTTCTGGTGTGCAATTGCCTGATGGTGAAATTCTATGAGTCTCCCCTTAAGTTGAGTGAGACTCTCTTTGATGTGTCCCAGAGTGTAGTTTAGCTTTTTCCCTATTAAATGCCTATTATCGAAAAAATTGTACACGTGGACTTATAGGAAAGCCTAAAGGGAAGTAAAGTGTAGAAAATACAGTAAGTAAACATAAGGTTAATTTTCTTTACACAAATTTGCAAGTAAAATGTATAGAGCTTGGATAGAGCTTTGCCCCATGTAAAATGTATTGCATAAAGAAGGATGCAAGGGCAGGAAATCCATAAGCTTCTGTAAGAAGAGTAAACAATCCAAAAAAAAAAAAAAACCTTATTAAACTTCCATGCTAATCATCTCTGCATTTTCACGGTAATCAGATGACCTGCCGATGGTTAGTTACCAAGTATAAACTGCCCTTTTTTCCACGGGCACTTGATGCATCAATAGGTTGAAAACTTTTTCAAGTAAATAAACATTAGATAATAAATAAAGGATTCTTTCATCGATGGGTAGATAGTAAAGGATTTTGTTCAGACATGAATTAGTAATAAATAAACTAATAATGATGGAAAATAAATATTCTACTCCGTAATCAAGACAAGACTACGGGCTTTGAAGAAGATTTTCTTGCAAAGCCATTTTTTTTTTCCCTTCTACCCATTTTATACCCTCGTGTATACGTACATATTCACTCATCCCTGTACAACTCCTCTCTCTCTCTCTCTCTCTTTTCACGTCATGAAAAGTGAAAATATATAATAAAAAAAAAAAAAAAAAAAAGGTAAACAAAAAGCCCAAAAAGACTCCAACCTGCTGCTGCTGCAAAGCAAAAGTTGTACAACTTACAAAAATATTACTCCTCAAAACAAATAAGACAAAAGAAGAAGTTTGATATGAACGAGCCACCAAAACTATCAACTGCCCGGCTTTCTGATCAAGTCTTCAAGCCGAACAGTCCAACCCCAGCTCCATTCTGCAAACTCCGTCAACCGAAAAAGCACCCTGTTCATGAATCCGCTTGCTTACTTCCTTCGGCTTGACGCCATGAGTTCTTGAATGCGTCGACTCCAATCCTAAAGTTAGCTCCAGCTCAATTTCGCCATCCCCGGCTCGCTCGTCCTTTTCTGAACTCAACTCCGGTTCCGCTCTCTCCAAAGCCCCAGCCTCGGCCTCAGCCGTCTCCTCAGAAGCCAAGCTCTCCGTGTCCTGGCTCTCTCCCTCCACATTCCTTGCCGCCTCAGACTGGTGGCTCAACGACGACTCATGGCTGGTGGACCGGTTCCCCTCCTCATGAGCCGATTCATCATCGCCCGAACCCACCCAACCCTTAGCTACCACCTTCGGCTTGTTGACCGCGGACCTCTTGAACCGGCACCGGGTCCTGACCCGGTGCAGACCACCCGACCCCTCTGATTTTTCATTCTTGTTCACGTGCCTAATGTCGTAAGCCTTCAAAGGAGGCCCATTGTGGGTCTCAGCCGCTTCAGATTCAATCTGGCTCACCGGAGCTCCTTCCAGAACAGCCTCCACAGCGTTCTGACAAAGCTGCCAGTTTCCTGACCACAGCAATCCGACCGATCCATATATCGGGTTCACGATCCTCCCACAAGCCTCGTACAACAATGATCTGAATATCGCTGTACAGAATTAAAAGCTTAAATAAATCAGCCAAAAAGGTTCACAAAATAAAATGCCACGTAGATATATATATATATATAAACAAATATGCATGCAGGTGAACTAACCAGGTCGGAGGTGTTCAGGGCCGGCGTTGATGAGGTTCATGAGGCCGGCGCGGCCGTAGAACTTGGCGAGGAAAACAGTGGCATTGGCTTGGGACTCGGGGCTTTTAATCCACTGAAGACATGGTTTGATGCTACAGTTCTCGCTGCAGCCTTTCCGGAGGACTCTGCATCCGTTGCAACTCATCCGCATTTTTGCTGATGATGATCACTCCACTTTTAACAGACTAACTGATAAATAATAGATTGAACCAACCCCCAAAAAAAAATTTTCTGAAAAAGACAAGAAATAGATACCAGATGAGTAGTAGTAGAAGTTTTTAGGGGAGAAGAAGAGATGATGATGTTTAATGAGGTAAGTAATAGTTTGAGGACTTGGGCGAGATATATAGGAGGACTAGTTGTAACGTGTTGAAGAGGTATCGTGCCTGGACGCTGGGATTATTTGGGGCGGTACCGGTCAGCTAGTTCATTACTAGAGGCCGCAGTTGTTTGATGGAGAAAAATAAAATAGAGACAGTCTAAACCCCAGGTTTTCCATATTCGTGGAATTGGGGGCTGCACCTTCGCTCAAATTTCCTTAAAAAAAGAAACCTTGAACTAACAATTCACAATAACACTTGCACTGGTGCCGCGTGTGCTCACTTCCCAATCATCAGATTCCAATAGAGTCCCCCTATTCCCATTGGTATGTTTTGCCAAGTTGCCTCCCACAGCAAGGCCCAGGGCTACGGAATCAAGGGTTAATTGCAAACATGCCCCCTTTGGACCGAATGTAATTTGCAAATGTTTCAGTGAGGTCTATCAAATTATGATACATTGATCAAATCAGTTTATAACTTACTGCATTGCTTCTAAAAATTTTGGTAGCACAAGACTTTAGCATGCTTTGAATTGAAACAAATCCACTATATAAATACAAGAGTTTTTCAATTAAAAATATATAACAAATCTTATTATTTTTAAATCAAAACACTCAACAAATATTTGATAACTTAATTCAATACTTAAATTTAATATATTCAGAGATGTGCTTGAAGATAAAAAAAAATAGACCATCATAATTAATTTAGCAGTTATGAATTTCTTAGATAAAATTTAATCAAAACAATAAATAATTAGCTACTCACTTATCACTTAATGCAAAATACGCTTAAATGTTAGTATTTCAATAATTGATCGTTAAGTAATTTAATAGATTTAGATCTCGTATTTTAAGCTTTCGATTTCATGTTTTCATTTTATCAAACGCATTCTTAGTCTTCTCTTCAAACAAAAGGAATGCCCCAACTCCATTTTTGAATAAGCTAACGTAAAAAAAAACATTATCTTGGCGTAACACGCCTGTTCACAGGTAATAAGAAAATCATCAAATAATAAAAAAATCAACCTCCATAGAAATTTATATACTCTTTTTATGGATGATAATTAATTGACAAAAGAAAGATCAATCTTGATCCAAAATGGAAGGAATTCACAAGACATGTGATTTTGTTGGATCAAAATTCTCAAAGGAAATTAAGCTTGATAATGTGTGAGAAATTGTAGTAGTATAAAAAATATTATAATTAGAGACAGAAGTAGGGATGGTTCCCAATTTTTAACAAATTAAGTTTTTCTTCATTAAAATTTAAAACTTTCAATCTTTTTTATAAATTTAATTTTTTGCTTCTACAGAAAATGAAAAATATTCTATATTATATACTTATCGATTTAATTGAAGTTCTCTTAAAGGAAATTTTCTGATTCCACCTTTTCTTTTATTATAAGTAGAAGGGTTTGAAAACGAGATATTTCACTTATACTCCCTCATTTCTAATTCCACTTACAATTGCAATTAGTATTGTAAAGGGCATATCAAAATATATTATACTTGAGGGACATATTGGCATTGACCCTAAAAGTGTAGTTCCAAGGTTGCAAATCCAATCTCATTTGCTTTTTTTCTAAATTTTTTTATTAACACAAGTGGATTCGACCTCCCTTGCTCGTACTTTCTCGATCCAACCAATCCAAATTCATCCCTGCGGCCAATTCCACTTGCTTGAAAAAGCATTATTGCAATGGGGGAGGGAATGGGGGGGGTTTCTTGATCACGGTAAACGAGGCGTCACCTGAAGCCTATAAATGGGAATTTTGAGAAAGTTAATGCTAGTGGGGGAAGGGAAAGATACACAGGTGGAGGAGTTTGAGGAAGCATTGGGGGAAGTGCCATGCAAGTGGCAGTGGGAACAAAAACCACGAGCGCGTGGTTAGCACGTGGAGTTGTCAGACTGCGGTCGAATCGCCACATATCGTGGAGAACGAGGACCCACTAACACCACACGGGCGTGGGCCCACCGTGCTCGCTCCTGGTTTTCGGGAGGTCGTGTTCAACGAAAAGTAAGAAACCAGCTCTTCTGGGGCGGAGTGAAAACAGACGACTGGTTTCTGGTTTTGCTGCTCCGGTCTGTGGGCGCTCGACTTGGGCAGTGGGCTATTGGTTTCACCGGTACCCAGTCAGTCTCTCATGCTTATCCCATAAGCTTGGACTGTTACGCCTTTATTAATGCAGAAAACTTTTTATAAGCTGCCCTCGAATACACAGAAACCTTAGATCCATTGTGTGATGAATATCTTTTAAAGAAAAGGGGCTCTTAAAAGGAATCACCAAAATTTGTTAAAATAATCCAAAACTACTCCTCCTTTAAGCATTACTAGTACTCAACATTTTACCGGAATTACTTTTCAAAGTACATCTCACTCAAAGTCGGCTCCTGCTGAAAGGTCACGAGTTAGATAATCTATATCTGTATAAAATTGAGAAGGGTTTTTTAGCAACAAATCTTCACAAACCTTCCCACTCCCAACTCTATTTTTTTAGCATTCTATATCTAACTTATTTTGTAAAAAACATCCCTAGGCACATTACACCCCCACACCCTTCCAATCAAGAATTTGTGAATTTGTCAATGCCATATATTGTCATTTATACTCTTATAATGCCATAACCAATTCCCACTGCCAATTCCATTTTTCTAACATTTCACATTTAATTAAATTTATAAAATATATTTCTCTCAACTTCCATATCTACTCTTCATATTTGAAATTATTGGTTATTTTTTAAAATCATTTCATTTCAAAGGTTAATGTGCGTTATCCTATTTGAACTTCAGCCCATCACGTTTCCGATTGTCTTGCGTTATTTATGATTCTACAACAATTAAAAATTCTATAAGACAATAAAAAGAGATAACAAATATAACATTCTTTCATGCTTTCTTATTAATTTAAATAAGTAAGATTATTTATACTATATTTTTGTTATTCATACTTCAATAATCATTTTGATCATATAATTTTCATTAATTAGATTATATGATAAAACAAATGGTGGAATTGCAAATAATAAAAAATTGAGTGTAAATAACATTTTCTTAAGTAAGAAGTGACCTCCATACCTTTTTAATTTGAAAAAGTAGTGGCTCCACTTATATAGAAATTTGGTTTGAAATTTATTAGTGGGAGGGTAAATAAAAAGAAAATATTGTCAAACTTAATAAAAGTAAAAAAAGTAATTGATAATATTTTATCTTTAAGTTTAGGAATCCTAAGTAAAAGGGCAAAATTAAATAGAAAACAAAAAGAAAATAATGTCGTGGATTTAAATAAATCAAGAATGATACCATTCATGAAATCCAAATTATGAAATCACTAAATAAAAAACAAAGTACTACTGGCCTTTTAACGTGGAATTTTTTTTAAAAATATTCATTTTTGATAAAAAAAAAATAATGATAATAACAACACCAATTCAACCAAAAATTTTTTAAAAAGTAATATTATAATTTAAGAGAAAGATATAGAACATTCAACCCTAAAATATTACTTAATTTGTATATATCATGCCCAAAATTGACATTAGAATTGAATAAGAGTGCAAAATCCAAACACTAATGATAACTTTTGGTATCATTAATTATTTTCTGTATTCTTATTGCCGTCTTCGTATGTAAATATGTATTTGCTATGTTAAAAAATATATATTTTTATATATTGATTGTTGTACTTGAGGATATTATAGATATTATTAATTTTTCATTTCCACTTATAGATACTAATAATTGCAACCATTGTAATTAATTTTTAATTTTATATTTTCATTATGATAGATAAAGTTAAATATATTGGATCGCAGGGATATGAATTTAGAGGTTAGGTATAGGGAGAGGAGGGAGGGAAGAAAATGATGAGATGTTGAAAAGTAGCAGGAAAGGTTGAAAAAGAAATATGAGTTACAAGAATAGGCGGAAAAGGTAGATAAGAAGAAAGGGGATTACAGAGATATGACAGAAATGGCAAAAAAATAATAATGATAGAGAAGGTGGTACCATGATAGAAGATATAAAAGTCGTAGGAGGCATCTGATGACTAGCTGGCATATAGGAGAAAAGGGAAATGATGGTGATTTTTAATAATTTTGAGAACTCTAAAAACACATATTATGGAGAATTTTCATCGATAACTTTCCTGCAATTGTTACGATTTTTTAAGAGAAAGATTTTTTTTTCTAAAAATGGAAGAAAATAAATTGGTTATAATATATTTTTTTATATCATAAGTTTTGATATATGGGTATAATATAATATGTTTTGTTGGATATTGATTTTTTTAGAAAACTCTGTTCACCTTACTATGCAACCTAACCCTCTCCTTAAATGCATTAACAATTCTTTTATAATGTAAATCATTATAGATTAATTTTTTTTAAATATTAAGCATACACTTCTTTAAAATTTTTAGTCTACATATATATTTATTATTTTGTACCACAATATATAAATATATAAAATATTATTTTGATTTGAAATAAAATACTAGTTATCTTTAATTAACAATAGTAGTATCATGCTAATACAAAAATTTAGCAATTCATAAAAAAAAAAAAAAAGAGTTTGTTTGTTTCAGTCACAGCACCTGGTGGTAGTAGGGTTGGTTAAGCCCAGCTGTGCCTGTGGGCGGCCGCTGAGTTTTTGGAAGGAAAAAAAATAGCCTCAGGAACATCAGAATCACATGCAGCTATTGGGTTTTCTAGTAGTCTTGGCGTTGTTAATGGATATAAATGGATAGAAACATTTGACTTTGAGGAGCTACAATTTGCCAGTAATGAAAATGGGTTTGACTGTCCTAATAAGTTTTGGCGGTGACTTTAACGCTCTTCTATTTATCGGGCTTCCTTCACTCACGGCTTAAAGAAAACCAAAAGTCGGTCAATAAATAAGAATTTTTTACACTGCCGCTACAATAAAACTTCTTGTGCATGCTGCTGCTCCAAGTAAAGTTGATCTCAACCACCTTGATTATATTATATTATTATATATTAGCTTAAGATTAAACAATTCAAGCTAGATTAGTAATGGATGTACCAACTAGATTCGCGGTGTCCCCCATGGCTTCTTTATTCTTGAATTGTACAGCGATTGGTTGTGATGAACCCACAAAAAATGATTTGATAAAATGCAATTTTGATTCCATTTTATGTCGTTGCCGCCCCTCTAGCGGACTTACATTGGCGTG